AAAAAAACCTTTACCACTAAACTCTTGGAGCAAACCCGCATTAGGCCAAAAGTAGACAATCCGCAATGTTAGGTCAGGTTAGACGATTCTTTTTCCGAGCTACCCTGGGTATGACCAGCACCACCTAGACACCACTTGTCTAGGTGGTGTTGGTATGACCCATCATCTATCAATTAAAAAAATAAAAAACGTATACAATTTCCTCTAATGCCGAATTTAAGCGCAGCTCTTGAGGAGGAGCAGGAGGTGATACCCTCCTCTCCGTACCCTCCTCTCCTGCTCCCCTGTCATTTAGTGGAAAGTTTTCGGTAAATTTCCTGCTCTTGTGGAGAAGAAGGGGAGGGTATGGAGGAAGAGTAGTAGGGACATAGCCTCCCCTCCATACCCTTCCCTTGTTCTCCACAAGAGCAGTAAATTTACCAAAAACGTTCCAGTTTTCGGTAAATTATGAAGCGGAGGGTATGCCCCTCCTCTTCCTCCATACCCTTCCCTCATTCCCTCCTCCTCTTCTCCTCCTCCTCCTCTCTTGAGGTATTTTGATATTGAGATGTACCGTGCTAAACAACCTGAGAGTAGCGCCTTGTCCCTGTCTTTTGTGTGATTTTCTATCGTCCCTGTCTGTTTGCGCTTTTAAACCTTATTCGCGACTCCAGCGACCTTCAGGGGACGCCACTACCGGGCAAATATAGCGGTCAAATCCAGGTCGTGCCGTGCCATGCGCCAGCTCAACGCACAACGATGGGGCATCAGCAAGTGAGCATTGGGCTCGAAATGCGTTCCCCCGCGCTTTATCTTCCACGTTTCGAACCCGCGGCGATGTGTTGGGGTAAGCGAACTTTCAGAGGCTTGACTTTCTTTGAGACTTTCTTTGAGGAAACGAGGAAAGAGCTGCCCACTGTCCTTCCATGATGCTGATGAACGTTGAGAAACGGAGAATGTCTGGCTCACGTGGCTACATAAGTCGCGTGCAGAGCAACCTGGGTCACAAGGCGATACTACGGTTCCGACACAGTCACCGGTAGAACTGTTCTGTCGCGCAAACCACCGACAACATGGAAACACGGAAGCCAGAAGAGACGAGCAGAAATCGCGAGCTGACCCTTTCCGGCCAGTTCAGTGTTTTCCCGCTATGTTCCGTTCGTTTTGCTGGAGTCGCGAATACATATATATACACATACATAATGTTGGGAAGTTGAAGACGACGACGTGGCAGTGACGCGCACGACCATCTCGCACCAGGCCCCATAGGCCGGCTGGGCCTCCATAAATCATTATATCTTCTCTTTGTCATCACCTGTCCTGTCTTCCGTGCTGCCGACAGTATCGCCCTAACAATATGAGGGAGGTGCGGAGCCATCGTCATCCCCTGCATTGAGCATCATCGCCTTTATCACCCAGCCTTCGCATCGTTGTGGTAGTCATCCGCCGCAGCAGACCAGTCACCAGCCCATAGCTCCGTCGCCCAGCCCCCGCCCAGACGCCATGAGAAGCCGAATCAATCAAAGCCAGAACAGACGAAGCCGACCGACGATCCCCGCCCCTATACCCAGACCCCGACGTTACGACGCTTTTTGAAGTGAGTGCCCCCCAGCCCGAACCATACCGTCTTGCAGCTGTGGCTGGTGCAAAGGTCTCCGAGGCTGCGGCCTAGTGGCCGAACTCCAGTGACGTTCCCATCTTCATCGCCATCGCCACCCCCACTATCGGCAGCTGTTCTTTGTTCTTCTCTGTGTGTCATTGTGAGTGTGCTCTTTCATCTTATTCAGCGGCCCGGTCAGCCGTTTTTGTCGGAGGGAGTACTGTTGGGAAGTTGAAGAGGACGACGGGGCAGTGGCGCGCACGACCATCTCGCGCCAAGCCTTACGGGCCTGCTCGGTTTCCATCAATCATTCTCTCTTTTCTCTGTCATCACCTGTCCTGTCCTCTATGCTGCCGACAGTATCACTCTAACAATATATTAATTGTGGTGTTCTCTTACCACTTGTCTGGACAAAGGAAATATAGTTCTCACATCTGGGAGCTCCACTCTGTCTAAGTTCAACCGGTGCAAGGAAACAGGACAGCAGGAGCAAGGCCTGAGAACGAGCCAGCGTTAGAGTAAACACTATGACGAAGCAGGTGATTGTTTCGATGTCGTCCTACTTGCTCTCGGCTCTGTGGAAGACGGCTGGGCGTTTTTGATTTCTTCAACATTAGTCTTGAGCGTGCTCCCCCGAGATGGCAATGCAGAACAGCGAGGGCACGTCCCTCGGGGCCAATGGGATGTTTTCCTGTATGACTGCTATGAAGGTATGTTTCGTCTTACATGAAATATTTAGTGAGTGCTGTAGGCGAGAGATACACAGCTACCACGAGCAAGCCGTTGTCGACCTTGGCGGAGCACAATTTGCCAACTTCATCTGACGTGCCGCACAGATAGATGGGTACAGCACATGCAGTTGGCCACTAGTAGCTGACACCTCCTCCTCCTCTCGTCTTCCTCCGTTCCTCCTCCTCCCCTCCTCCTTCTCTCTCCTCCCTCCTCCCCCTCTCTTCCTCCCCTTCTTCCTTCTCTGCTAGTCCTCCCTCCTCCTCTTCTCCTCCTCTTCCCCTACTGCTTCTCCTCATCCTCTCCTCCTCCTACTTCCTCCACCTTCCTCCTCCTCCACCTTCTCCTCACTTCTCCCCCTCCATGCTACTCCTTCTCCTCTCCTCCTCCTTCTCCTTCCTCGTGACGTCACTCGTGACCCTCGTCATGGCATACGTGACCCTCGTGGCATCACTCGGGACTTTCGTGACGTCACTCGGGACCCTCGTCACTTCACTCGTTACCCTCATCACGTCACGTGTGACGTCAATATGGGAAACGCCCCATAATGCAACGCGCGGTTACGCCGAAGGCGACGGCGACGGCGACGCCGCTCAAGCCAGAAACGGGCGCCTAAGAGCTCCGCACTAAAAGTAGTTACAATATTTTAGTAATTACATTATGAATTGCCACGGTTATCTTTCCATCACGATGATTGGTGGCCGAGTGGGCTAGCGCACAACACCTCGGAGCAGAGGAGCCAAAGCTCGCGCTACAGAATCCAGGGATCATGGGCTTAATCCCCACCCCTGCCTGTTTCGATCTGGATGAGCACCGTACAGGTGTTTGGTTGTGCAACACTAAGGCGGTAATTCACGTTAAAAAGCCCAGGCTCGCGCTTGTATTGTACTGGCTAAATTGCTCATCTACACATTCTAACAGCTAAGACACCAGGCAGTCATTAGAATTGACTAACTTCCGGCTGCATAAACATACTCACAACATAATTGCCCTTTTACATTTCTTCGCATAAAATATCCGCCAAGCCCTATCAACTCACAATGAAGACGGAATCCACGTAAATGCCACCCCTCCTAGGAAATATGTGTTTCCATTGTAACTCACTTTCCAGAACACTTCTGAGGCAAACAGTTTCGTCTCATAAAATTACACAGCGAGAGGTTTTAGATGTTACTAGTTAAACCAAAAAGGAAGCAAAATAGCCCTTTTAGCACCAAGAAAAGAATAGTCTATTGTCTAAGTCGGTGAACAACTACTTGTTGTCTTAACTTAGTTGATGAACAACTAACACAATAGGTAGCCTTGTAGCCAATATCTGGAATAAAAGTATTATTATGGCTTTTTGTGTTTCATTGACAAACAGCTCACTAATGAATGCCAAGGTGTGTATAACGATTGTTTCTTATTTTTAAGGAAAGTGTTAAATATAATTGCAAACGTGGAGGGCGGTTTGCTAGTTAATCGTCGCTCTTATGTGCCACAATAATTGTGCTCAACGTGTAGAAATGATGCTACTGTTAGAAAGACAGGCATTCGATTAATATTGTTGACACGTGACTTGCGACTGCCAAATATCAAACACATGGGTTGGATATCATTTTCAAATAATTTGTAGGTGGTGTACTCTACTACTGCCTCATCACCGGTGACTCGCTTGCATAACTAAATATCTTCTACTTTTGTTTCAATTTGCAACTGCAAGTACTTATAGAATTTTTATTGAGAGAGGTATGTTGGTATACGTAGGTGAATATAACTACTGCAGCCTCCACTACAAAACACCCTGTAGATGGAATATATAATTTTAAAATGTACAAAACACATACTCTATATACTAACCAATGAAGAGCATTACAAACAAGTTAGATAATTTGCTGCTTTGAATAATCCTGTTGAAATTTTCTCTTCGCGTTATAATTTATAAATTTGTTCAGATAAGTGTCTGCCTGTTAATGAAGTCAACTGGGTGATTTGCACTCTCGCGACGGGTATATAAAAATTATATCAAGGCATAGTTGATTTAAATGTTCATTAAAACAGCCTCATTTTCACGCTGTTCCAAAATGATGCTACACATTTTAAAAGCTAAAGAAATAACGAAAACCAAAATTTTCAAAAATTTTTTATGTTAATCTTAATTGTCGTATTATAAAACACTCAATATTATTGTGTCCTAATATGTATATGGCAGCAATTTATAGAGAATCATAATATTCAGAATAATTGATGCTATGAAATAATCTCACTGGTACCAACAGCTTTTGCGGTTTTACAAAATTATGGCACTATAAATGGATAAATGCAGACGATTTCAGCATTTTTGTTTTCATTTTAAAAGACACCATAAAAGTAAAAAAAAAGCGTGTTTTTAAAAATATATATCCTCTGAGAGAAGCCACCCATCTCTATTCTCAAATTCAATACTACGTTGAAAAAGTTTCGCTTCAGCTATAGGGCGGGTTTTCTTCGAAGACATGCAAAAAATAACAAAACAGAATACTCTTTGGGAGGATACAGTAACAAGTTTTCCCTGCTTTCTACGCTTGTCCTTCGAGCAAGTCATTGAACGGAACTGCTCTCCTGAGATTGGCGATTTAGTTTATACGCAGTTTTAGAGGTAGCGTGGCCTTAGTTTAATAATGTCCTCAAAAAACGATCAGTTGCACATAAAAATGTAACAAAGCAGGCTTACGAATTGGTATAAAGATTGGAGTTCGAGAGGTTCCTTGATCCAGTTAGGGTAACCAATGATCTGGTACATATCCCTGACCTATAGAAAACAACAACATTGCACTTAAGAATTTTGGCAAAATAAGTATTTGAATAGTGCTGTTGTACCTTCTTAATCGCAGCCGATCTTGTTTTTGTGTCAAGCCAATTCTTTTCCCTTTCTTCAAGAAGATTTATGAGTGATTCCTTCAAATATGTGATTATTTCGGATATCTGAAAAGAAAGTTCGACTTTCAGACGTGTTTTTGGAACAAAATTGAAATGCTTAGGAGAAGAGCGTGTCGGTTCAGGTGATGGACGAACAAATGATCGTCCGTTGCTAGTTGAAAGATCTGGTTGCCTTGGCCCAGTGTTAATTGGTTATTCTTTCTTCATCTATCAAAATTGTTATGCTTACAGTTTGTTTTCTGACATGCTATCCCATTGACGGGAATATATTTTCTTGCAAAAAAGAGCCCGGATAGAAGGGAAAACGCTGGGCTTTCTACAGATATATCAACTAATCGTACCATCTAAGGTGTAAATCAACAACATTTTATAACACAAGACTTAAGCATGCAACCCATGAGCGGTGAAAGTGAGTGCCGCGCGACATTCGCTGTGCGAATGTCGCGCGGTTCAGTTGAGGTCCCTTAACTGGGCTGCATCATTTATATCAACCAAATCTGAGCGACGCGGTGCAGCGAGGAAGTGACTTAGAGGCGCCAGCACCGGTTGCTATGGATACCTTCGCGCGGCACCAGTTTTCATCAATCACGTGTTCTCCGCTTTCGATGCCTGCATAAAAATAGCTCTCATTTGTTTGAAGCCGTCCTAGGTGTCAGGTTTACCTGACAATTCGGCACCTGCCGTGTGGGAGAGGAACTCCCTCCTGCGGGACTATGGCGCAAATCACATAAATACCATTACGACGTTTCTTCCGCCTCGTATAGAACATGCATGTATTCGTGAACAATTTTCAGATGGCAATTGTTTATACTTTTGCTGGGATTTATTGGGATACCGCCTCCCTGAATCATAGTGACAATAAATAAATCACTTTCAATCCGCCTTTGCATGTTGTTACTCAAATCAGGCGAGCATTATCCTGCATAATAATAACTTGTTTGGCGTGTGTGTTTTGAAACAACGAAGCACTCCGCAAAATATATAGTATTTTAAAATCTTCAAACTTAGGCCCAAACTATTTTTCATTCGAAAGGCAATAATTGAGTTTAGGCATCTAGGCAATCTTTAAAGAAAAACTGAAGCAGTTTTATATTTGAGCAGATACATTTATACCATCTTCATTTTGTCTCCGGGATCACGAAGATCAAAATTATATTTTAGATTAATGCCCGGTGCAACCACCATAGCGCTTTGAATATAGCGCTGAAGACCCACCTGTTTTGAGGCGCGTTCGGTGGAAGGAAAGATTCGTGACGTTATCCAGAGATCTCAACGTGCCCAAGCCTTAGGGGCACGCGTAAGGCAGTTGAAACATCTGGGTAGAAAGTCGTATCCAGTTGCAAATTTATTTGGTTTTTCTCACTTCTAGTGATACTTTCTGCACAAAATGCTTGTCATATTTGAATTCACGGGACAAAAATACGCAAGAAGGAACCTCTAACTTGTTTTTCAAGAACATGTTCAACTTCCCTTTAATATACAAAGTAAGTAAGATTCAGAAGAAAATAATCTGACTACTGGTGCACGCGCTCTAAGGTTCTGCAACAGCAAACCATTAGCTCATTGCGCACAATGTTGATTGGATGCTTTTCTCCCATTTTTATACATTGATATCCCAATGACATTACAGGGTGTTATGGAGAGCAAATGAAAGCAGAAAATCTATGCACTCTAAGCCAGGTTCTCGGAGTCTACTTGAAAAATAGTCTGGAAATCAACAGGAATAAAGTGTGTCACGTCTGATGATAAAACGGATACGTTTTGTTATCGCTTATTATTGGCACGTATGTATTTGATTTTTAAAGAGAACTGAGACAATATTAATCAATCATTTAATCATGTTGTACTTGACTTCTGATGCTTCAAATGCATCGCACCGAAGATCCGAAAGAACAATAGATTTCCGAGATTAGGGAAAATAAGTTATTAGAACTATTCAGTCCTAACAAAACTTGATATAAGATGCATTTCAAATAGCTAGTCTGGCGATTGGCGTTTCAAATAATGTGCTGAGCATAGAACCCTCACGTGATCTTAAAGTTAAGAAACCAAATATTGCCGTGTGCATGGTCGAGTGGGAACGCATTTGCTCTCACGAACTTTTTCGGAGTTCAATGCCCGGTGCCAGACACTGCTTTTATCAAGGCGAATGCTTTATATGTCTCATCGTTCAGTTGATCTTCAAAGTCCTTGAGCGAAAACTCGTCGGCGACACCAAATGTACCAAAAACGTTTACGTTACCACTCAGGCGAAATGGAGGCAATAAAATTAAAAAGAATGACAAAGCGAATTAAGAGCCATCAAAATGAATTAAGAGGAATTAAAGTAAATTAAAAGTAATTAAAGTTAATTAAAAGTAATCAATGGGAATTAAGAAGGACTATAAAGCGCATTAAAGGAATCAAAGTGACTTAAGATGAATTGGAGTGAATTAGAATGAATTAAAAAGAAGTAAAAATAATCAATGCTAATCAATGACAACAAATCTAATTAAGAGGAATTAAAGTGATTTAAGAGGAATGAAAGTGAATTAAAAGGAATTAAAGCGAATTAAGTTGTTGACTGAGCGAATGAAGTGAATGAGTAAACGAATTAAGATGATGATTGAGCACATTAAGAAGGATGACTCAGCACATTGAGAAGGATGACTCAGCATAATAGGAAGTATGACTCAAAACATTAAGAGGGTTGTCTGTTTTTAATGCTTTGGACGCTTGGGCTTTCACCTTCAAGTCGTCTTAAGAATAACATAATAGAACTTGTGAATTTTATTCTTTCTTCTCAGTACTTCCAGAAGATTCGTGTTTACTGTTACCCCAAGTAATCGACGCTGGAACATTCTAGGATGAATGTTCGAGATACCGGGTGAAGTAGATAAGAAACTGAGTTACGGGATTTAGTTGAGCTAGTTGGTACATACTGTTGGCAATCAGGTCACCTGAAGACGGAAAAAACAAGAACACGAAGGAAAGGACTGGACATTTACACCGCTGACTAGCAACTGACTTTCCCTTTTTCCTCATCCCAGACTAGGCCTTTTCTTCTTCATCCTACCGCTCATTAAACGCGTTTGAAAGCAACCTTTTAAGACTACCACTCAACGGGGTGTGGCAAACCGCGATATACGCAATATCGCGGATTTATCCGCGATTGATAAGAAGCCCAGAGTGACCTTGGCGAGGCAGTCTCGCGCTAGTCGCCTGCCACGCCGATATCTCGTCACTCGCTTTTGTTGTTTAGACGCTCATTCTTCCATTTCTTTCTGAAACATGTGGACAGATTAAACCTTTATTTTCAGTTTTACGTTTTTTATCAATCGTTTTCTATCGCAATATTTCTGGTGATGGAGCGAGGTAACTTTCTATGTTTCTTCCTTATAAACCCCCATGGAGCCATCGAACTAGATAGATTTCAAGTCCTGGAAACATTTCTCCTCTTGAGCCAGACGAAGCCTGAGCAACTCAAGCCCAGCCGCCGGATTCGGTCCATTGGTGAAAAAATGAAAGCCGCTTACAACTCCCTGTAACGCCGAATTAGAGCGCAGCTCTTGAGGAGGGGGAGGGAAGGGCACTGGGGGGGGGGCGGGGTTAAACTAACCAGGGGGGGTCACGTTACCTTGGGGGTCACGTGACCCCCAATGCCGACGATGTCATCACTGACGTCACTGATGACGTCATCAGTGACGATGACGATGCGGGTACCGATGACGTCATTAGTGACGTCACTGATGACTTCACCAGTGATGATGACGATGACGATGCGAATGTCGGTGACGTCATCAGTGACGTCGCTGATGACGTCATCAGTGATGATGACGATGACGATGCGGGTTCCGGTGACGACATCAGTGACGTCACTGATGACGTCATCAGTGATGATGACGATGACAATGCGGATGTCGGTGACGTCATCAGTGATGATGACGATGACGATGTGGATGCCGGTGACGTCATCAGTGATGATGACGATGACGATGTGGATGCCGGTGACGTCATCAGTGATGATGACGATGACGATGCGGATGCCGGTGACGTCATCAGTGATGATGACGATGACGATGCGGATGCCGGTGACGTCATCAGTGATGATGACGATGACGATGTGGATGCCGGTGACGTCATCAGTGATGATGACGATGTGGATGCCGGTGACGTCATCAGTGATGATGACGATGACGATGCGGATGCCGGTGACGTCATCAGTGATGACGATGACGATGTGGATGCCGGTGACGTCATCAGTGATGATGACGATGACGATGTGGATGCCGGTGACGTCATCAGTGATGATGACGATGACGATGTGGATGCCGGTGACGTCATCAGTGATGATGACGATGACGATGTGGATGCCGGTGACGTCATCAGTGACGATGACGTCATCGGGGGTCACGTGACCTCGAGGAGGGGGCCACGTGACCTCAGGGGAGTCACGTGACTTCGGGGGGTCACGTGACCCCCCACGAGGTCACGTGACCTTGGTGGGGGGCTCGCGCGGTGCATTATGGGACATTTCCCATGATGCACCGCGCGGTTACGCCGACGCCGACGCCGACGGCGACGCCGCTCAAGCCGGAAACGGGCCCCTAAGAGCTGCGCTCTAATAACAAAGAGAGAAGTCGACGAATCCGGAGGGGCACCAGGGCAGAGCGTCCAGAACATGAGCTTCTCATTGCATTCAACAGCCCGTTTCCAATTAAAAAACAACAAAGCGTCATCACCTCCTGAGAAACGTGTAAAGAGCAGCTACGCGAGAATTCAACAACCGAATGAAAGCGTTGTCGGCTTCATCAAAGACGTCCTCTGACTACACAAGCGCTTGGAGCCCGAACCGGAGGAGCAAAAGAATCTCAAAATTCTCATGCGAAAAGTAAAGAAAAGCATATTCGGGGCTCTCGTGTGAAAGCCGCCTGCGACCGTCGTGGCACTCGTGACGGAGGCAAAAAAACAACCACATCGTGAGGGAATCCTCCAAGTGCGAGTCACACAGAACAAGCGACTGGCCAACGTTGCCGCCCTGCGTTAGTTGGCCTCAATACTCTAAC